AATAATAATAATAATAATAATAACAATAATAATAATAATAACAATAATAATAATAATAATAATAATAATAATAATAGTAATAATAGTAATAATAATAACAATAATAACAACAATAATAATAATAGTAATAATAATAATAATAACAATAATAATAATTATTGATAATAATCGATGATAATAATCGATCGAGATCGGGGTACGATCGGACTAAGATCTGGGACATGCAAATTAGGCAATCGGTTCAGCCAATCAATCATGTATACATGTCGTTAAATTTCATGAAATATCAAAATCGATTATATATTAATTATATATTCGATCGAATATCGTATATAATTTAAATGTGAACTTTATTATCGATAACATTTTATTGGATAAAAGTGATTTATGAATCGTTAAATTAAATTTTCTTTAATAGGTTGTTATTATTATTACTACTGGATAAAATTTATTTCGTTGTTTGCAAGAGAAAATATTATTGTTTCGGTTTTTTTTTTTTTTTTTTTTGATATATTTTTTAGTAATTCATGTAAAATTTTTTCGAGGCGGGTGTCTTGAAAAAAATAGAAAATGGCTGAACCGTTTGGCCCGCGAAAAGTGAGTTCCTATGGATATATTACGATAAAATAAGCGAAAGCTTATGTAATATTAAGGTGTCTGGAACTGATATTAATAAAATATTAATGAAACAATTTAGAAGAGATGCTTGGAAATAGAGAACATGAAAAAAACGGTGTCGGCCGATGATTAAGAATCGAACAATGATTATGGGCATGGGGGTGAATTCGATGAATGAGAATAAGAACAGTTATAGCGTAATTAAAAATATAAAATAATAAAAAATCATAGAATTAAGAATCGTAAGAGACGATAAAAATAAATAAATAATAAAAACAAGAAATTCACAGAGGTGAGTAAAAATAAAAATTTAAAATAAATAAAACGATAATAAATAAAGGGGAAAGAAAAAAAATAAATAAAAATTATAAGTACACGTGACGAGGAGAGTGATTAATGATTCATAAATCTTCCACAAAAAACATTCTTTCAAAAAGAAGAAGAAAAGAAAAAAAAAAAAAAGAAAAATCAAAAAAATTAATAGAACAATCATGACGAACGATCGATGATACAAACTACTATACATATCGATTTTTACATTATATTCTGTTCGTGTTTTCGTTATGTATCATATAAGTAAATATAATAAAAATTGAAAACAGAAATATAAAAAAATGTAAAAAAAATTATTCGATCTTTTTTTTTCTTTTTTTTTTTTTTTTTTTTTTTTTTTTTTTTTTTTTTTTTTTTTTTTTTTTCACTCTCCAAAAATGCTCACAGTTACTCTACTGATCTATGTAAAAACATGTGTCTAAGAAATGTCTCTGAAGTGTGGAGTAGTGTATTTGTGCGTGTACTAGTGTGTCAGTGTAGTATCCCGCGCGTGTAAATATAATAATTAATAATGTAATATAATTAATAATATAAATGTGGAGACGTACCAAACAGGGTAAAGAGAGCGTCAGGCGTGACCATCTACACAGAGAACAGACAGAGTCCAGTCAGTAGTCAGCGAGTATAATAGGATTCAAATGTATAGTGTTGGCACGCGCACAAGTTTCGCAGGCCTCATTTATACGGCCTTATTTTCAGACTTTACGAATGTTCCAGACTATTTACTGACTTTGTAACAAAATATTGATAAAACTGTGTCACTATGAT